TTTCGCACCATTTCCATTAGTAGCAAGCTGATCTGAATTGAAGTCACCAGCGATCACAACATTCCTGCGAGACATCCAAATTGTACTCAATACTTGGTTGAATTCATCAAAGAAAGATGTAACGTCAGGAGGTCTATATACACAACCCACAAGTAATCTTTGCGAGTGAGCTTTCAATTCAATCCAGAGAGCTTCAATGCCGTCGTTGTCATATTTGGATATACGTACACAATCTAGGCTAATGTTAAAGTAAATAGCGACTCCGCCTCCTACTTTGTGTGACCTATCTCTTCTCAGAATTCGGTATCCATCGATGTTTACTTCGTTATCGCTTATATCTTGTGTCAGATGCGTTTCAGAAATGGTTAGGATATCCAGGTTGGTATGCTGTAAAAGTATTTTCACTTCGGGGAGGTTCTTACGGAGGCCTCGCACGTTCGAGTGACCGATGGATACTCCTTGCTTTCCATTGTCTCTCACCACGTGAAGTGCATCAAACAGAGGGGAAGCAGGCCCCGGGTTAGGACATATGTCGCCACATAGTTGTAAATATTCAAAGTTGAAGCTTGCATCGGAGTTGCTGTAGTAGTTGACTCTCGAATTCCTGAATCTGACTCGAGCTTTCCACACGAATCCAATATGGCGGATATTGAGTCGAAACAAAATGGATGATATCGGTTTCAAAAACCAATGATTATCCCAGCTTTGCTTGTTTACTTTGACGAGGCGCATATCTAATCCGATGTGTGCATCTTTGCCACTTGAACATGCCAATATGTACAGAGAAAAGCCAAAAAGAAACCAAAGTATAGGCGAACTAAAAATTTTGCTTCTTCCCGCCATGATCACCAATGTGTACAGATAGGTACCAGCAAATATGCTGGGGGCAATCCTGCAATGGATTAGAATCCCATCTAGGGGGGTGTAGCAATACTCCTAGCCGCTTCATGCTAAGGAAACTGGAGTTAAGTGCCAGCCCCATGGGCCATTTGGGCCTGTATAAAGGCTTTACTTTACTTTTTTACTATTGTTTTGAAAGCCAGATCAAGTTGTACCTATTGGTTTGATTTATTCTGCTGGTAATAAGCAAAAGTTCAGATACAAGAGTTTCAAATTATAAAGTGCAGGATTAAAACTTCACCAGGGTGGGTGATCATACAATGCAATATGGTACATTTTATTGTCCATTCAAGGGACTATGTCACCTAAGGTGTTGGAGCCTGAGGCTCAAACTATCCCTGGATGTAAATAACCAAAAATGACATGGAAACATCTTAAGTAAAGACATGTGGAAACAGAGTAATTTAAAAGCAACACTGAATTTTTGACAAAAAACTTCTAAACTCAAACTATGCGATGTCAAAAAAAACCTGTGTAAAATAATTTATTAGAGGAAAAGGATTTTCTAACTAGTGTATATATGTGTGTGTAGATATGCAAATTCCTATATGATCATTTGATCTTGTCACGTAGGTATCAAACACTTTCATAGCTGTATATGAAGTGAAACACAGTTGTTGCAGTTTTGTCATTAACACTAGGCGATGGACATAAACTATATCAAAGCATGGTGATCAGTTTTTGAAAAACTGAAGCCCGATCACAGGCAGATATGCATCTAATTAATCTTCTTATTTTGATACTACAGGTGCTGTAATGCCAAAAATTCATGCCATTTATTAAGAGCCATCATGAGCAAAATATAATGATATTTGGGATAAATAATGAACATCCACAGCACCTGTAATTGTAACTCTACTTTTTATGTGGTAACCGGACATTTCGCACAAAAGACTTTTCGCACAAGTCTTTTAGCACAAGTTTTGGACCGTTCGCACAATTCTTAATGGTCATTTCGTACAATAATCATAAGTGAGAAACATCAATATAAAAAGTATACTGATTGATACTGATAAGACATTTCACCTTCACAAGATCCAACGGCGAGAACGTAGACATTTACGTAATAACTTCAACTAGATCAAAATGCTCGTGAACACGATCACTATTCTTTCTTGAAGAAAGGAAAGGTACAAATCTCTCTCATGAAAATGTAAAGAACTCACTATTCGAACGACTACTTCTATAACTTTTCCTTTGTTGAACGAAAAACCTTTTAGTTTTGACAGTATCATCCACTACAAAGTTAACATGCAAACATGACGATCCACGCTAAGGACACCATGTTCATTTCAAAAGTAATTGTCACCAGTCTTCCCTCCTTGTTTGATTGCCTTCAAATAGCATGTTTTATCGATCTGTAAGAGTTTCAAATAAAGTTATTGAAAACTTGCTTCTTATATCTTCGTTATATAATGAAAATTAGGCATACTGGTAATACGTACAGCAAAAACAGTTCAACGTTAATAACTCGATATTCAGAGAGTGATTCACATCGAATATCGGCACGTGCAAGTGTTGTGATTTGACAACTTGATCGTGTCAGTGTAGGTAGTAACTAGTGATCTTGTAGAAAGACAAGTTCGATCTGTAATCATTTTAAAGATCGTAAAGTTAAATAAATCTATCAAGTAGTAACATTTCAAATTATTCTAATAACAATTACCTAAGCGATGGAGAGTTCAGTATAGATCGATAAGCGTCATAGCGACCGTGATGTAAACAAACGATTTCACGAAAGTTTCAAGAGTTCAAAATAATTCAAAGATTATACGCTAGCCGTTCGATAAGTAATCATACAAGCTAAAGATCAAAACAAGTAAAGACATTTAGATGTACTATAGCTTAAATGAATGTAGGAAAGGGCTAAATTTCTACGAGTCTTGACCTAGTAGCGAGTTAAAATATGCATGGTTCGTCGGGTAACATGGCCGTGAACTTGAATTTTATATATTTACACAGAAATTTTGCAAATAGGTCTTATCTTCTTTTAAATAAAAAGTGAAACAGTTTGCAGGTTTTTACTTTGACTTCAGAGGAGGGAGGATTGGTGACAATTACTTTCGAAATCAACATGGCGTCCTTAGCGTTGGGTCGTCATGTTCGTATGTTTGTAGTGGATAATATACTGTCAAAACTAAAAGGTTTTTTATTTAACAAATGAAAGTAAAAGAAGTAGTCGTTCGAATAGGGAGTTCTTTACATTTTCATAGAGAGAAAGATTTGTTCCTTTCTTCAAGTAAGAATAGTGAACGTGTTCACAAGCTTTTCGACCTTCAACTTAACCAAAAAGTATGAAATAATGATAACCACAAATAATAAAAATTAAGATAGACTTTGAAAAGATAAACAATGTATCAATAGTGATAGAAAACACATGATTAATATCAATTACATGATGAAACAGACATTAAATGATATGCAAATTAATACAGATTACATAAAAATAACCAAATCAAAGAAAACTCTTGAATACTATTATAACTACTGGAATAAAATAATAAATCTTATAAGTAATGACTTGAATACAATAATAAATAAGTCAACAACACAATAATTAATAACAAGTAAAATTTTTTTGTATTGTTGCTCAAAACATCAGCTAATGGCCACATGTCAATGATTATAATATCTGCAGTTTTTAATCCTTCAACTCCCAGATCAAATTTGTAATTCTCCTAACTATCATCCATACAATTCTCATAGTGTTAGTTCAGAAAATTTGGTATTGGATCAACTATTTATCCCCAAATTGATATTTTTCTTTATACTCATCACTTATCTGGTTAATACAGCATTGATATTGTAAGGAAAAATTCTGCTTTGGTCACTCATGGGAGTTAAAGGGTTAATTTGTCTAAATAACTCTCTTTATCAAATGACACTCCTCTCATAAAGGACCTTAATTCAACGTCTTTTCATAGGTAGTAAGGGCAAACCGACTGATTTTCTTTTTGAAGTCTTTCATTTCATAGAAACGAGAAACATGATTTAAATTATCTCTACCATTCTACCATTTGTCAAATGGAATATTTCATTTGGTTTTGGAGTGACCACCATTTTAAAAAAACTATTCAATAACCATCAGTTTCACAGACTATGATTCAAATTTCAGTGAGATTTCTGCAATGAAAGAGACTGAATTCATGAGCACTGTCTCTGAGAAAATCAGGCAATGGTTAGAACTGTGAACAGAATCTTGGTCCATGCGTACAAAGTCTTCTCAAGGAGAAGATTGACTGGGTAGTAAAGGAAAGGGTCTGGCTCTAATATTGACCATGTTTGTTTCATCACTTAATACGTGACAGCATAAGATCAACCATAGTACTTAATTAATTGCATTAATACCTTTACCCCAAACATCAGTATGCATATTCTTCATACTGTTTTCTGTACATTTCCTAAGGTGTCAACAAGGTGAACTTGTTTCCTTTTTTCTCGTGACCTTAATCAGGGTGTGTCTAAGGGGTGATACAGCAAGAAGAAATTAGATGCTAGTCACTTCTATAGGTAAAGAAGGTTAAAAAAAACTGCATTGTTACTTCTGTATACACCTAGGAGGTTAGGACACCGTGGCTTTGTGTAATCACCATTAATAACTCACATGTAGTAGTAAGGATAGAGATGAGGAACGTCAGAAAATTGTTTCTTTTTTCCATTAACCCTCTCCCCCTCTTCCTGGGGGGGAAAAACTTCATAGATCTTAGAAAAATGGATCCCATTGGTTTTGTGGAAACCATATGAAATATCATGTAACTTACCCAGTTAATAATAACTGGAAAAGTTACATGATATTTCATGTGGTTTCCACAAAACTGTGTATTTGAGTATTTAGCCATACCTTACATAGGTATTGAACTCAATAATTATGTTGTAATAGGGACCGAAATCTAAATGCAAAAAGACAAAAGTTGTGTCTTTTTTTCTTCTTGTTTATGCAGTTGTGATGACAGTTTTTCCTTAAGTGGGGATGGCATTTGTCCCTAGCATTTGAAAGGTGTAATGTCCCTTCCCCCTCTGAAAAAAGAAATTCACCAGTTCAAACCTTGATCAACAATAAGCATAAATACATCAATAAAAGTTTCATTTTTCATCCATAGTCACTCATAGCTTGAAAGCAGTCTCAAGTGGGTGTCTTCAGAGATCTCTTTGGATAAGGTTTCAAGAGCAATTTGCATTGGTGTAGCTAAAGCACAAAGTTTATATGAATTTTGATGCTCACCAAAGATAATGCCAAAAGCTTGAAGATTTGCAACTAAATTTCTTTCAAAGAGTACTGCTCCAGAATCTCCTTCAGTAGCAAAAACTTTTGCATAACCAAGACCAAATGGATGATCTATACATAAGCAGTTCTTTAACCAAAGCCTGTCACACAGAGAGGCTGTGTCTATTTTACAAGAGTCACAAGCAGTAGCAGTACACTCTAATTGCTCTCCAATTCCAGATCTTTCCTTACAACTTTGACAGAGTCTGACACGTTTCAACACAGTGACCAAACCCTCATTTTGGGCATTCACTTCATATAAGGAAGCATTGAGAAACATTGATGGTTGCACATGACGACCAGACTTTGTGAATCCTGTGGTTCGGCCACTCTTGCACAGTTCCCCTCTGGCATTTAGTCTTGAACTATATTCCCCACTTGGATGATCTCCTGTTCCAATCATTTCAGCTGTTTGACTCTGTCTCAAACTGTCAACTTCTTCTGGAGTCAACTCAGCCAAGGCAGCGTCAATGTAGTATTGTTGACCATCATCCCACTTTGTATTACCAGAGATGCCGACAGAGTATCTTGCTATGACTCTGGGTTGTAGTTTCAAACCTCTCTCAAAAGCTTCTTCATGCTGCTTTATATTCTCTAATTTCCTGATTGTCACCCTTGTATGGTCTTGGTAGGTTTCTTTGATCCCTTGTAGCTCTTTGAACTTATTTGACAATCCTTCCAACTCTGCAATATGGCCAAATGAGAACTGGTTTGCCAGTATGTGGCAACTTTCCCGGTAAATGATGTGCTTCATTCGCGACCCATACTGCTGTAAATGGTAATTTAGATAATTCAAATAATCATTCTGTGCAGGATGAATGATCTCTGACTTTTTACTGTGCCTCATAACGTGATGGCAGGAAAGTGCATAGAAGGTTTCACCGTCTTTCACAATGGCACCTAAGGTCCCAGCTGCATCCTCTCCTTGCACACCAATACTTGCTCCCAAACGAAGTACCTCATTTTGTTCCTGTGCTTCATTTGGCGGCCAAGGATCATCAGTTCTGAGCCATATTCCATCCACAACATCCACTGGGTAAGAACCAAGAGTGAGTGGGAAGGAACATTCACCATCTGGGATGACACCTTTACATAGAACATACAGTGTGATACAAGGGGTTCCCGTCTGCTTAGAATTTGTGATTTTAAGTGAGGGTTGCACAGCAGTGATGTTACGATGCCTGACAAGAAGATGGAGATTTTCAGATATAGTTTTGTTCATTTCATTCACTTGAGAGTCATTCAACACCTGCTGCATACCGGATGGATACTCCAGAGGGGTAATCTTGAGAATTTCATCTGCATCCCTGTAAAGATCTAACCATTCAAGTTTCACATCCATCTCCTTAAAATAATCTTGAGCAGCAGCTTTTAATATTTCAGGTACTCCAGACTTTCCAGAAAGCACAAACAACTTAACCTTGACATGACCATCATCTGTGTATATTAAAACACGGACACATTCTCTGTGCTTGGCTTCAAACTCCATAGCCATCACAACAATGTTGTTTGTTTCATGCTTGCTATCCAAAGGTGCATGCTTGTCTCCTACTTCTTTAGCTATTTTACAATGTAGGTTGTAGTACTCTATGGCTTTCTTTACATCACTCAGACTGTGATAAGCATTGCCAAGATTTCCATAGGCATAACCCTCCCCATGCTTGTCTCCTACTTCTTTAGCTATTTTACAATGTAGGTTGTCGTACTCTATGGCTTTTTTTACATCACCCAGACTGTGATACGCATTGCCAAGATTTTCATAGGCATAACCCTCCCCATGCTTGTCTCCTACTTCTTTAGCTATTTTAAGATGTAGGTGGTGGTACTCTATGGCTTCTTTGACATCACCCAGACTGTAACAAGCATTGCCAAGATTGCCATAAGCATTACCCTCCCCATGCTTGTCTCCTACTTCTTTAGCTATTTTACAATGTAGGTTGTAATACTCTATGGCTCTTTTGACATTACACAGACTGTAATAAGCATTGCCAAGATTGCAATAAGCACCACCCTCCCCATGCCTGTCTCCCACTTCTTTAGCTATTTTAAGATGTAGGTTGTGGTACTCTATGGCTTTTTTGAAATCACCCAGAATGCAATAAGCACAGCCAAGCTTACCACAAGCATTACCCTCTCTATGCTTGTCTCCTACTTCTTTAGCTATTTTAAGATGTAGGTGGTGGTACTCTATGGCTTCTTTGACATCACCCAGACTGTAACAAGCATTTCCAAGATTGCCATAAGCAGTACCCTCCCCATACTTGTCCCCTACTTCTTTAACTATTTTAAGATGTAGGTTGTGGTACTCTATGGCTGTTTTGAAATCACCTAGTAAGAAATAGGCATTGCCAAGATTGCCAAAAGCATTACCCTCCACTTGCTTGTTTCCTACTTCTTGAGCTACTTTAAGATGTAGGTTGTGGTACTCTATGGCTTTTTTGACATCACCTAGTAAGCAATAAGCTTTGCCAAGATTGCCATAAGCATTACCCTCCCCACGCTTGTATCCTATTTCTTTAGCTATTTTAAGATGTAAATTGTGGTACTTTATGGCTGTTTTGAAGTCACCTGATAAGCGATAAACATTGCCAAGATTGCCATAAAGATTACTCTCCACACGCTTGTTTCCTACTTCTTTTGCTATTATAAGATGTAGGCTGTGGTACTTAATGGCTTTTTTGAAATCACCCAGACTGCAATAAGCTTTGCCAAGATTGCCATAAGCATTACCCTCCCCATGCTTGTATCCTATTTCTTTAGCTATTTTAAGATGTAGGTTGTGGTACTCTATGGCTTTTTTGACATCACCTAGTAAGCAATAAGCATTGCCAAGATTGCCATAAGCATTACCCTCCACATGCTTGTCTCCTACTTCTTTAGCTATTTTAAGGTGTAGGTTGTGGTACTCTATGGCTTTTTTGACATCACCTAGTAAGCAATAAGCATTGCCAAGATTGCCATAAGCATTACCCTCCACATGCTTGTTTCCAACTTCTTGAGCTATTTTAACATGTAGGTTGTGGTATTCTATGGCTTTTTTGACATCACCCAGACTGTAATAATCATTGCCAAGATTGCCATAAGCATTACCCTCCCCATGCTTGTCTCCTACTTCTTTAGCTATTTTAAGATGTAGGTTGTGGTACTCTATGGCTTTTTTGAAATCACCCAGACTGTAATAATCATTGCCAAGATTGCCATAAGCATTACCCTCCCCATGCTTGTCTCCTACTTCTTTAGTTATTTTAAGATGTAGGTTGTGGTACTCTATGGCTTTTTTGAAATCACCCAGACGGTGATAAGCATTGCCAAGATTGCCATAAGCATTACCCTCCCCATGCTTGTTTCCTACTTCTTTAGCTATTTTAATCTGTCGGTTGTAGTATTCTATGGCTTTTTCGAAATCACCCAGCCTGTAATAAGCATTGCCAAGATTGCCATAAGCGTTACCCTCCCCATGCTTGTCTCCTACTTCTTTAGCTATTTTAAGATGTAGGTTGTGGTACTTAATGGCTTTTTTTAAATCACCTAGACTGTGATACACATTGCCAAGGCTACCATAGGCGTTACCCTCCCTCTGCTTGTCCCCATCTTCTTTAGCTATTTTAAGATGTAGGTTGTAGTGCTCTATGGCTTTTTTGAAATCACCCAGACTGTAATATACATTGCCAAGATTACCATGAGCGTTACCCTCCCCATGCTTGTCTCCCACTTCTTTAGCTATTTGAAGATGTAGGTTGTGGTACTCTTTGGCTTTTTCGAAATCACCCAGCCTGTAATAAGCATTGCCAAGATTGCAATAAGCACCACCCTCCCTGTGCCTGTCTCCTACTTCTTTAGCTATTTTAAGATGTAGGTTGAGGTATTCTATGGCTGCTTTGAAATCACTCAGAAAGTAATAAGCATTGCCAAGATTGCCATAAGCATTACCCTCCCCAAGCTTGTCTCCTACTTCTTTAGCTATTTTAAGATGTAGGTGGTGGTACTCTGTGGCTTGTTTGACATCACCCAGACTGTAATAATCATTGCCAAGATTGCCATAAGCATTACCCTCCCCATGCTTGTCTCCTTCTTCTTTAGCTATTTTAAGATGTAGGTTGTGGTACTCTATGGCTTTTTTGACATCACCTAGTAAGCAATAAGCATTGCCAAGATTGCCATAAGCATTACCCTCCCCAAGCTTGTCTCCTACTTCTTTAGCTATTTTAAGATGTAGGTGGTGGTACTCTGTGGCTTGTTTGACATCACCCAGACTGTAATAATCATTGCCAAGATTGCCATAAGCATTACCCTCCCCATGCTTGTCTCCTTCTTCTTTAGCTATTTTAAGATGTAGGTTGTGGTACTCTATGGCTTTTTTGACATCACCTAGTAAGCAATAAGCATTGCCAAGATTGCCATAAGCATTACCCTCCCCAAGCTTGTCTCCTACTTCTTTAGCTATTTTAAGATGTAGGTGGTGGTACTCTGTGGCTTGTTTGACATCACCCAGACTGTAATAATCATTGCCAAGATTGCCATAAGCATTACCCTCCCCATGCTTGTCTCCTTCTTCTTTAGCTATTTTAAGATGTAGGTTGTGGTACTCTATGGCTTTTTTGACATCACCTAGTAAGCAATAAGCATTGCCAAGATTGCCATAAGCATTACCCTCCCCAAGCTTGTCTCCTACTTCTTTAGCTATTTTAAGATGTAGGTGGTGGTACTCTGTGGCTTGTTTGACATCACCCAGTTTGTAATAAGCATTGCCAAGATTGCCATAAGCATTGCCCTCCCCATGCTTGTCTCCCTGATTATAGAAGTCCATGACTTTCTTAACACCCAAACTTTGTCTTCCATGGTCAGAGCTAATATGATCTTTTTTCTCCATGGACTTATCTCTCACTTCTTTGACAGACTGAAGTCGCAGTGATGACAAGATCATATTATTTTTGTCAATCTTTTTTATGTTAAGGTTCAAAAATGTGAAAAAAACAAAAAAGATGAGTTTTCTAATCACATTAATTTGGTATTTAATAGTCCATTTTTACAGTTGTATGCTTGATTGCCAAGCCTTTGAACAAGAGTGTGGCTAAGGGTGACCTTAGCTTGTTATATATTAAATATTGCAGCTGCTTTTCAAATGCAAATTACTCTGTTGTTATGATCACCAGATACTGGTCTCTATCACAACAAGGTCACCATTAGCCTCAATCTAAATCAAAGGCTTATGGCAACTAAGTACACTACTGTAAAATGACCTTTTAAGAGGACTTACATGAAAGGTAGATGTTTAATCAACATTCAGTCTTAAAGTCACGGATGAAGTAAATGTACCCATCTGTGTGCAACCTCAAATTTTAAAGCTTAATAACTAGATATAATCCCTTGTTTCCAAAAACTGGGGGGCACTTGCTCAATTTTTAAGTTAATATAGCTTTAGCATCAGACGAATGTTTCACAGCAGCAGAAGAAAAGAGTCTACATCACAAATATGTGCCTTTAAAAGTTGCATTTGTCCACAGGGATATGTGACAAAAGTTTCAGTCTCTGAGTTGTGGAAAAAATATAAAGTGATCACAGAAAATCAGCATAATATATTATATAAACATTACCAAACTTCTTTTTCAGACTCGTTTCAGAGAGATCATCTACCTTCATACCATGTATAAACTGGGTGAACATTAGTCTTTTAACTAAACTAATGTTATGGCATGGATAGTATGACAGTAAAATTGGCTAAAATCGGTAATATCACTAATAAGTCATGAGGTAATAACTTTTCCCATGTTTTTTAGTCACACACTTGAAGTATGAGTTGACCAGTTCCCATCATAATTAATACCCTTTGTATTTTCTCCCTTAAACGTTAAATTATGGAATATTTCCATCATACCCATGATTAAAAATGAAAGATTCCTTCAAAAGATACAGCTAATCCCTTATCACACCAAGTGATTGCTTCTTCAAATCTTTTCAGTTCAACACATGCAGTGGCTCCTGTAGGCAACAACACAAAGAAGCATATATTTATTACTGTAGCTTAATTCCAAGAAAAGAACTACAAACATTGAAAGCTAAATCATTACAGAAAAAAATAGAAAAAACCAAAACAAAACAAAAAAAACCTAAAAAAAAAGGAAAAGAATACATAGGCCCTCTTAGGTTTTGGTTAGATTAACTTAATTTTGATAATTGAACCTTCTAAGAACATATAAATTGGGACTGATAATTCCCACAAAATACTAAGAGATGGAGATAGAATAGAAGACATGCAATGCAAAAACCAAAAATTAACCCACCTTTTAAAATAGTTATAATGGTACATTTTTTAGTGAACCATTTTAGATCTAGGTTAACTTTCAACTTCAATCAAAATACAAATTAATACTAGTTTCACTTTGGTTTCAGTTAACGTATTAGTTTTACTCTATCAGTTGACAATTGCTTGCCAGGAAGTGACTCAAACTAAGGTTTAAAGTTCACCAAGAATAAGATTTACTCTGTCCTTAGTTATTTCATGTATTATGGCACTTGAAAATAAGTTATAGTTGATGAATGAGGAAATTTTCCTGACAGTTTTGAGTTAAGTCCTTTAACTTCAAAAAAGCTAGATAGTGACTAAACATGTCTGACACCACTACCTAACTCAATGAGCAAAAAGGAACTAAAATACACATGCTGAAATTTTGTTTTGCATTCAGCATTGAGTTCTTCGTCTAACTCAAAATAATCTCATCATAATGGAGTGTCACAGCAGAGCAGTCAAGAGTCAGATTCAAATGTACATCAGGGTGGTCGCGACCTCTCAATTAAAGTCAATTGAGACAAGATTTAACTTCATATATCCTAATTAGAGTATTGACTTTTATTATTATTATTATTGTTATTATTATCATCATCATTATCATTATTATTATTATTATAGCACAGCCAATATATCTAACCTCTCACAATTGCCTTGAAGAAAATTGGATTTGACTCAGTGGCTGTTTCTGCATCCCTTAGTGAATCCTGGTGATTTCCTGTAATTGGAATAAATATCTCTGATTAGCTGTACATATAGCACACCCACCACCTTTACATTAATGTTAGGAAAAACTTGTGATGCTTGTTGATATCTGGGGCAAGAGTTTACTTCTTTGTATTTTTGAGAAGCCAAGATAAGGCAAATACATTTTTTTAGAGAATTTCTTTCTGGGCATACATTCAAAATTGTCAAATCTTTCAGAAAACTACCACTGACAACCCTTCACTTCAAAAGAGAAGAAATGCATATTATTAAAGTTCTCATCATCTTACCAAGTTTAGAATGTGCAATAGCCCTGTTGTTGTACAATTTGGCTTTCAGTTCTTTCTCATTGCAATTCAATTTAATTCCTTCAGTGTAAAAATGAATAGCATTGATGAAATCTCCTTTCTTGAAGGCCTCATTGCCCTCATTCCTGTAAACATCAGCTGTGGCTGCAAAGAAAAGATAGAAAATAATTTATGTCAAAGTCTGTGGTGGTAGTTAATTAGTGTATAAGCAGAGCTGCCAAGATCTGGAGATTTAAAATCAGCAGATTTTTCCTTATGTGCTAGCTGCCACTTTTTGCACCTGCCTGACTTGACCCATCCCCTAAAAAGCTTAGATGATGTGTGCAGCTCCCCCCCCTTCCCTCCTCTCAGGACAAACCCCACTCAGTTAATTTATGAGAAACCTTTTTTGGTAGAAACCTCAATCAATCAGACTCCATTGCTGTTGTGGTTATTGTTAAAAAGAAAGTGTAATCCTACCAACAGTACTTTGAAACAATCTAAACACAATCAAGAAAATTAAGATAAGAAACCTAAGATAACCATAATAACACTGACTATGGGAAATCTGGAGTTCAAATAATATGTTTCTGTGAGGAACTGACCCTAATCCTCTTTTATCTTGAAGGTTTGATGACCCTTATGGGAGACCCACAGTCTCCTTCTGTGTCTGTGAGACTCCCTGATAATCAGAGCGAGTCAGCATAATTGTAAGTGTAAAAGGGTCTACTGCTTTTATTACATTTTGATAGTTAATACATCAATAAGATCCAAACGTTGCAATCATAAAAACCAGAAGCAATATTACCAACAGACAAACAGTTATTATATAAATAATAAGAAAGAGGATGAGATTAATATTTATAATGATGCTAATAATGTGGATGAGAACACAGTGGTAATAATAGTGATGAGGATTGAGCATCACTCAATTTGAAGCAAACCACTGGGCATTTAAACTTTTGGAGATAGGTTTCCTAAAATTCCTATTCCATGGGCAAAATTAATAATGTGTTTGAATGCCTCCACACAATTTTTATGTAAAAAGCAAAATAACTAGCAATTTGACTTTCAACTAATTGACCAAGATTTAAAACCTAGAACTTGAAGCCTTATTTCTTCAGAGCCATTTGTTAGTGAAAGTGCACTATCTACCTTGAACACCTCCATATTCAATGCTATTACACTTGTATTCTATTGGAAATTAGTTGTGACACTGCTGGTTCAAATTCCTCAATGTTAGTCAGGCAATGTTCAATTCTTCTCCCTCTTCCCCCTCTCCCCCCCCAGCTTTGGCCTGGATGATGATCAAATGCCTGCAGGTTGTTTGAGGAGAAGGGAGGGGATGTTGAAGCTTTAAAACTGATTGTAGCATTTTAATGGGAAGATGATGATGATGATGGTACTTATGATACAAACTTACAAAGTAGATGTTATATGATGATCAAATAAAGTCTTTACTGATTATAATTTTGTGCACTTGCCTAGAACTTTTGGAAGTTAAAGCAAATAACAAAGGTTTCTGTGTCATAGATCCTCTCAATAAACAGCTTATTGTAATCATAGAAGAGAGTCATGACAGGCCAAATATTCTTTAAAGTGGTCATATGGTGTATATATCATTCTCCACATCTGCTTACATTCTTGAAACTGGTGGAATAGAAATTATTCTTACTAACAATACCTGAAGCCAAAGTTGAACCAAGCTCACCTATTAAAGTGTCCTTGTCAAAATCTGGTTTATTTTCTTCATTGAGTAAGTCTTCATTTTCAAATAAATCTTTACACGGACTTCTTCCTGTAGCCATTGCAACTGTAAGAAGATGCTTATGGAAAAAAGTTGCTGTTTTAAGTTATCCTGGCCTGAAAAAAAAGGTGGTTGCAAATGGTAATGAACATCAGCTCAACATATTACCCAGTTGCAAAATATTTTTTCCCTTCTGATACTGAGAGGTATACATAGACACAAAATCACAAGCCAATTTATATTAATGGCATACAAACAATTAGAGCAGAAAAAAAACAAAAGACTCTTATACAGAAGAACTTCTCATTATAATAAATTTCAAGATTTATGAAATATGTTCCCAACTGACCAAGATATAATAAGGCAAAAATCAACATCTTGTGTCGCAAGTTCATATAATTTGTAATAGCAGCAATTCATATCATCTAAATCAAGAGGCTGTAGGTAGTTTGGTAAAGTCTGTGTTTGAGCAGTGGCCTGACCAAGCCCTGAGCTTATAATCCTTGTTTCCTTGCATGAAGCAACTAGGAGTATCACCACTCCCCCCTGGACAGGATGCCAGTCCATCCCATGGTTACCCCTCCTCCCCCTGACATTTCATAAGGCTTCCCTGACTGAGTTCTGCTACCCATTTATACTCTTGAGTGGAGAGAGACACTGAGAGAGAAAAGTATTTTGTATAAGAACACAACACCTGACCTGGCCAGGTTACAAATGCACACCTCTTGATTCTGAGTCTACATCACTAATCGAAAGGGCACCATGTCTCCATAAGAGGGGAGAGTTTATGCTGAATCCTTCCTCATAAGAAACAAATTTTACAAAACCAAAGTAAAATACTCTTATTTGATTTTGAATTACATATTGCTGGTCAAAACCTATAAAAGATGTATGTCTTTTATTTAATTTCCTCCAGTTCAACTGATGCCCTTATTCGTAAAGATGGGTGGTAGTTCAACTGTTACACTTATTGCAAGAAAAACAGTGAAATATATACACTAAAATGTGCTGATGTATGTTGAAATGGATTTAAATACTGTGCATGTGCTGGCAATTGTGGTTTAGGAGTATACGTGTCTAACAAATTGTAATTGTTATCTCTTCATGTTTCCATTGTTTTGTGCACAAAATTGTTTTGTCTTTGATGCTAACCTCAATTCTCCTGATAAGCAAGATTGCGGCAGTTTAGAAATGATTGAGTGCCAATACTCCCAGCACGGCTCAAGAAAGCGTGGTAATAGTCACACACTAATGTCACTTGGACTTAACTAGTTTATTTTGAATTTTCTAGCTTCCAAGTCAAAAAGTACATGTTGTATGATTGTCTGTAGGATGTGTTTGTGATCACGCCTTTACCTTAAAAGCGGTCAAAAATAACAATAACAATAACAACAAAAAATAAATCAAAGGGCGCCTGTGGCCAACTCGTGGATAAAGTATTAAAGAGATATATACTTGTAAAGTTGCTATCAGTGAACTAAGGTGTTAAAAAAATATATAGAAAGTAGAATAATTGCAAGTATAGAAATTATAGTACTTGATTATGTGATGGAAACCCCCCTAGGGGAGGGGAAAACATGGTTCATTTTTTTGCTGGGTATGTGCAGCTTTCAGAACCTCTGTTGTATTTTAGCCTTTGTTGTGGCCAATTACAGACCCCATCTTTGTCCGCTTTTGGGCGAGACCGGAATGAAATAGGAGCAGTTTATTAAGAGTACATCTGTGCAAAAATCAAACAAAAATGAAATTTTTATGGCAAGGGTCAAAAATTCAAATTGTCTCAATTTTTGCACACAAGTAGACCCTAGTAAGACAAGAAAGACTGCGTGTTTTTTTTCCTCAAATATGTTTCTTATTTTCGAGAAAAACGAACTTTTCGCTTTCACCCTCTACAATCGATGGATCGGGTCATAACAGGTCGAAAATTGAACACTTTCACTTGCCTCGCATTTCAAAGATATTACGTCAAGGGAAATCTAACCAACGTGAGCTATTTCATAGACTCTTTGTCTTCTGTAAAATGTAAGTTGTGTTGGAATTGGTTGCTTAGAAGCTTTTGGCCATGCGAAAAAACAATGTGCTCTCTTCCGTTACAAAAAAATGTCGGTGAAGAAAACCTCTTTTTTCACCATGTGCCATTATTCAGAATTCCACAAAATTACGTATGTAAATTGCCGAAGGAATGATCTTCAAGATGACGTAAAGTTTTCTTTGGGCAAATGTTTTCTCGCGACGCAGGAAACTCTTCAAAGTAGCACACGGAAGACATAAAATCACGCCATATGTTGATTGCGTGACCAAAGAGTTAAGGAGCATTCTTGCATTTGAAATTACTCAAAATCGCACAGGAGAACGTTTTCAGAAACAAATGACAAAGCTATAACCAGTTTTGTTAAATTGCTTTGCCTTTTATCATTTGAAGTTTGTTTCTGCAGAGATATTCTGCCATCGTTCTGTCTAGTACGATTATGCACCAGTGCCAGTAACGGTATACGATTAAAAACTTTGCAGATACGGTAACAACTTTTCTACCATGAGTCTTCCTGGTAATGAATCCTTACTTGCCATAATTTTCTTACGCCTAAAATCTCAAAAATGTGTAACCCCATTTTAGTAACTCTATTGAAAGTAGCTGAAAATGCAACGCATTAAAAGTCAATGCAGTCCCTATCCGGCGGCACAATTTTAACCCTCACCCCCCCCCCCCCCCCTTCTCTGAAGTATTATTTAAGTGGTAGAAATGGCAAAGAGCGAGGAAGCAAATTATCGCACATAATCACGCCAGGTTGACAATAACCATCCTAACTTGCACTGCTTATACCGTGAATGTAGCATACCCACGTGCGTAAAGTGTTTGTAACTGATGGAAACATACGCATGTTACACCAAAAAACCCGCGTGTAGCAGAACAGGCCGATTACTCGCAATTTTCGTAGTTTTGAATTTCCCTTTTGTTTTTCAGTACACACATATGCTTGAACTTTTTTACACGGATGCGATAGAAGTTAATCGGAAAAGCATACCTTGAAATAGGAAGTCGTGTGTTTTGAGGGAAAAAGATCGTCAAGTGATCAAAACAATACCTACCAGATTATGGTCACGTGGTCGACAACGACTTGGAGAAACCGATTCTATTCCATTCTTACCATCAAAACGGTCACGCTTGCTTAGAAAAGCAACAAAACGAAACGACTATAACGAAAAGACCAAAATTGGCGTAGCTGCCGAAACATCAGAAAAAAACCCTAAAAAGAAAGAAATATTATTTTAAATTAACATTTTTTTAAAAAAAGTCATGGGTACATGTTTCCGTGGGAATTTCCATGTCAACAGCTTTCTCTGTCACTCACAAACTCTTCGTGATTCTCGTTGCTCCTCGTTATGTTTAGCGCGTGGACGATTCGAAGACCCTTCAAATTTAGTCTTTAAGTGGATCATAGCACTAATCTGAAACATTCGAAGTCCATTTCAATTTAGTAACTGTCGAGACAGCCGTGTAAGGACAATAAACATCGCAACGATCGGTGCAATCACAATGGCGCCAGGACTTCGGACTTCTTCGGAAGGATAGATCTCGAGTTCAGAGCCAACTAGTTACGACTAATTACGAAGAATCCAAGCTAATTTGCATATCCCAAATTGCCGACAGCAAATTTGTTTCTACGCTATCGCGTATCCATGAGTTAAAAACGTATTTTCACATAAAAGTTATTAAATCAGGAAGGTGTCATAATCTCGGACCTGGGCGAATCCCCAGGGGGAAATTACGCGGCAACCGCTCGTGCCAGGGCTCGTTTTCATATCTTTCCCATATTTTGTTTAAATCGCGCACGTAGCAAAATTCACACGTGGAAGATCTTTCTTAAGGAAAAAATCTTTGGTCATGGAAAAATCAAAAGCGGCAGAAAGTCCTCAGCAAAAAAAAGAAAACAAAAAACAGGCCCACAGAAGAAAGAAAGCTTACCAATCTGTCATAAGGCTACTCTTACTTTAGATGCCGATATCTGGACAACCAACAGAATATCGAAAAAGCCTGATATACTTTGTTTGATTGATGCCTCATGAATGAATGAATTAGCTTGAATTCATTCTTCCCAAAATTAATTATTACAAAATGGTTCAGAAGCCGATTCTTATCGTGCATGCACGGACCGTTTCCTCCACTGTCCCAGGAGGATCGATATGGTCCCCTGAATACTTTGAACACAACACAATCCTTATTTATTCAGTTACGAAACTTCTACAAACGAACTCGCCAACCTACTCGGTGCTGAACCCAAAATCATAGGTAATTTAGTGTTAACAACTGAGTTGAAAACGTAAATTGGCCACCGTAATGGGTAAAAAAGCTGACGTTTCTAGAGTTTGCCCTTCATCAGAGTGATTGGAGGAATCGTGCGATATGTGTGGGTTTAGATGCAGAAAGTGGAGCTACGCTATTGGTGGGAATGTGGTGACGAGGAAACAGGAATAAATTAAGATTTAGATATATGAAAATTCACATATTTGCACTGCGGTGGAAAGATGAAATTAGGAGATCCTCGCAGCTAAGAACACTACTGAAACTAGTAGTTGTAAGTAGGACCTGAAAAAAAAATTTCAGGCCCGTACGGGATTTGAACCCATGACCTCTGCGATACCGGTGCAGCGCTCTACCAATTGAGCTAACAAGCCAACTGGGAGCTGGTCAATGAATTGGGTACAAATAAACATCCGAGTGAATGAAGATTTAGATATATGAAAATTCACATATTTGCACTGCGGTGGAAAGATGAAATTAGGAGATCCTCGCAGCTAAGAACACTACTGAAACTAGTAGTTGTAAGTAGGACCTGAAAAAAATTTCAGGCCCGTACGGGATTTGAACCCATGACCTCTGCGATACCGGTGCAGCGCTCTACCAATTGAGCTAACAAGCCAACTGGGAGCTGGTCAATGAATTGGGTACAAATAAACATCCGAGTGAATGAAGATTTAGATATATGAAAATTCACATATTTGCACTGCGGTGGAAAGATGAAATTAGGAGATCCTCGCAGCTAAGAACACTACTGAAACTAG